TGTTTCCCTTGTATTCCCCCAACAACGGCCGTGTCCAGCGTTGTCTGAGCCCGTTCTTTGTCTGCTCCCGGCAGGGAACGCTGTCTTGTCATGCAGATTTCATTCACCAGCCCCCGCCGATCTCGGGTTGGGGGGGAACCTCCCCGCGGTGAGCCCCCCGCTTGCCGGCAGTTGTCTGGCTTTGATGAACCGGCTCGGCCGGCCCCGAGCGCACTCTTGTCCCCTACCTCATCGTTGCTGATGGGCACCGAGGGGTGGAGGAGGTTCCCGATCTCCCGGAGGCTCTCAAAACGTTCTGCCTCCAGCCTCACGCGCTCGGCGTCGCACTGGAGGATGGCTTCGTCGATGAGGAGACGGACTTTCTTGATCTGGGATACCTGCAGAGCCTGCGCGGGCAGCCGGGTGAGGCGGGGAAGGGAAGAAACTGCCGGGGAGAGGGGGGTGGCCGGCGGGGGCGGGGAAACACGGAAAAACGCGGGCGGCGGGGTGGGGCGGGGAGGGAAGGGAACTGCCGGGGAGAGGGGGCTGGCAGCCGAGCACGGTTAATCACGGACCCTCGCCCGACCGACACGGCTTCCGGAGTGAAACCGTGGACTGAACGCATCGAACAACAGCCCGAGGGGACAAAGGACTGACATAAGTCAGGCTCTGAAAGGGCCCGAGCGAGCTACGGCGTCACACCGCGCCCGGCGGGGACGAGGGGGAGCAAGTCGGCTCCCACGGCGGCAAAAGCCGGCCAGCGCCACGCTCATTAACCATCGCGGTTAACGAACTGGGAAGGGGAACGGGCGGGGAGGAAGGGACTTGCAGGGGACACACAATGACTGAGGCTGCTCAAATCCCCCAGGGAAGCGCAGGACGAGCCCTGTGCTGGTGAGCGGGCCAGGAGCCGCCACGAACCAAGGCTGAAACGGTCTTTAGACGAAGGAGACTGAGCAAGAGCCGGTTATTGCTGCGCGGGACGGGGGGAAATAAGGATCCTCCTGGCAAGGGGGTTCAGGCAGTCCCCCCTCGCTTGGTGCTGGGGTTTTGGGCACCTCACGCCGCCAGCTCGGGCAATTACAGGCGAAGCTCTGGACAAAATGGGTGGGCCAGCAGCACAGTGCGGGGAGACGGGGTCAGACTCACCCCCAGGACGTCGGCCGTGAGCTCGTCGAGGTTCTGTGCGCTCTCCGGTACAGACTCGTCCGTCCCCACTGGCTCTTTTTTCTGCAGCGGGAGGAAAAAGAAACCCCAGCAGGGTTAAAGAGTAAAGCTCCAGGGTAAAAATATTCCTCAACGATGCGAGGGAGAGGCCTGGAGAGCAGAGACCTGGGGGAGATGCCACCAGTTAGTAACATCTCACCAGCGAATCGCTGCCAGGACCGTCGGCCTTCGTGCCTCACCTTCATCTTGTCCCCGATCGTTTTGCTGCACAGGTTCTTCAGCTTGTTCAAGTTATCGGCACGAAACCTGCCTAGAAAGCAGAGGGGAGGGAGCCGTCAGCCAGCCGCATGAGTGGGAGCGGGGCCGGGATCCCTGTCCGGCACCGAGAGGGGCCGCGAAGCCTCAGGCGGGAGCAGGAGAGGGGACGGCAGCTCCAGCGATGCCCGTCACCGCCGGCCCCGGGCGTTTCGGAAGGACAGGGGAGGGTTTGACCGCGTGAGAGCACGGTGTGGGGCTGGCCACGATGCGGGGCAGAGACGTAGGGAGCAGAGGGCTCCCACACAGGGCTGTCATTTGAAAACACCCCAAATGACACCGCACCGGGCGACAGAGACGAGCCACAGCCCCACCAGGACCCCCAGGCTGGGCTGGGGCCACCGAGGGCTGGGCGGACGCAGGGCTCTGGGGCCACAGCGATGAGATTCGGGCTGTTTCGATGAGGGGACCGGGGAGGTCCCCCTTGGTGACGTCAGGGCTGGGAAAGGCAGAGCCCAGGACACAGCCGTCCCCTCCTGGCAGGGCAGCCCGAATCAGAGACACACCAATGCCAGGGATGCGTCACCCCAACAGGGTGACATCCCCATCTGCGGGCAGGATCAGACCCACGGGGCTGAGACGGGGGTGATCCAGAGTCAGGAAAGACAAAGGGTTAAGAGCCAGGGAACAGGGCACAGCAAACATGACCCTGGCAGCCTCCAGCGGACCCCACGGCACCGCGGCACCGGCAGACGCGGGATTGCATCAGCCAGCTGCTCGCCAGCGCATCCTGCCAGCCCTGCGCCTCGCGGTTACGCGCCAGCGCACCCCTCTGCAGCACCCACCGCCGCCGGGACGGGCCGGAGCCC